ACGTTGTTTACATGTGGAAGTGATCACATTTTAAATATATTGGGTTAAAGAAAACATATTTAAATTAATTTCTGCTTTTTTGATGTGGCTACTAGAAATACTTAATTTACATACATATGTGGCTCACATCGTATGTCTACAGGACAGAGCTGGTCTGGACCATTGTTTTGAGAAATTGGTCTGTGAAGGGGGAAAAAAGAGGTGAAATGATGACATCTTGAAAGAAGTAAAGGGTCGAATGAAAATTTTTATTAGTATTGTATCTACAAGAACTGGTTTTTAAAGATATGACACCAAGGTCCAGGGTTTAATCACTGTGCCAGCCAGCCACCCCCGCCCAAATAAAAGATATGGAGAAACAATGCTGTGGACGGACAGGCGAGAGGCATGCGGAGACCACAGAGGAGAGTCCATGGCGATCGGTGAAGGGCGAGGATGGCAGGAGGAGCAGGATTCACAGGGAAGGGAGCAGGAGGCTGGGGCGGGCATTGTGAGAGTGAGGTTCTGAAGGAGGTGGGGCAGAGCCTGGAGGGATTTGGGGGTGATGAGGCGTGGACGAGCACAGGACCAACCGGCTCTATCATTGGAGCAGAACTTCGGCACCATGCTCCACTGATGTCTTCAGGCTCCTTACCTCCCTGCCTGGTGCAGTATGAAGTCTTGTGCCTGTATCAGCTCCTGGAGGAGGGGAAGAAGGGGGGGCAGGAGAAGATAAAGCAGAGTAGGTTGTAGTGACAACTCTCAAAGGAATTCTGGAGGCTTATTTGCTGAAAAGGTGGATAAGGGTGATGAGTCTTATTGAGTCTCCCTGAGAGCGGGAGAAACATGGAAGCCCCATCCCCCAGCTTAGGGTGCCAAGAGCGTCTGCTACACCCCTGTTCTCCTTCAAGGGCACATGGTCCATCCTTGAAGAGTTGGAGCCCCAGGGGACGGGATGAGACAGGGCTTCTTGTTATGGTGGGGGGAGGGAGTGTTGGGGGACAACGAGGCTAAGAAATGGCAGGGGGTTATTGCAGAGTCCAAAGTCACTCCAGCAAGGGTGTTTCTGACATTGGAAAGGAACTTCTCAATGGATGGGTGTTCTTATGGGTGGTGATCTGACTGGAAAGGGGGTTGGGGGTAAAAAGAAGAAACTAATCTTGAAGCCATGTTTGCCAGCAGGTACACTGTTATTACTTAGCCTATTTGCTCCTTTGAGTAGCTCTTCTGAGGGGGTGGAGAATGCCTTACTCATGCTACTCTTTGGCCTCACCACTGCCTAAAACTGAAAAAGGTCAGGTGTTGGGTTTCCAAGGCAGGGCTGTAGTGTACCAGCAGTTTCAGAAATTGCTACCCTCTGGGCTGGGAGAGAAAGTGAGCACAGACTAGCCGGGTATCTACTAGCAAGATGAGCAGTGAAGAGCCCAGGACTCCAGGCCACGCTCTCCACTGACCCATTATCCAGTCCTTGGTGGGAGTAAACTCTTCTCCCAGCCCAGCTCAGTCAGCTGCGATACAGATGGTTTGTAGTCCTTAAGAGGGTCCCAGGTTTCGGTGTGCCATNACACCGAGGGTTGCGATCCCGTTACCAGTCAGTAAAAAAGACAAAAAAAGGAAAAAAAAATTTTCATGTTTCGTTTTCTGTGAAATAAACTGCATTTCATAGTGATCTGTGGAGCTATGTTAATGTCCTGTGCCAGATGGTGAATCTGAGCTCCTGGTCTGAGAAAGTAACATCAAGCAAGAGACAGCTGGGGGAGTCTTCCCCGTGAAGTGAGAGGTGCAGCCGCTGGAGTAGATGCAATCAGCCCAGAAATGCCCCGAATGAGAGGAGAGGGATGGACGGGGCAGGATAGGTCCTCAGGGAACACTTGCATTTTAGGTGGCGGTGAGGAAGAGAGGCCAGCAGAGGTGGAGTTCAGGTCATAAAAACAGGGGACCCAGGAGAGCAGGGAAGTCAAGTACAGAGCCCTGGAGCCAAGGAAAGGGAAGAGGAAAGGTGAGGCTGAGGAGGGGATGTGCATCTCTGCAGAGCCCTGCTGGTGCCGAGGACCCTTCCCGCTTTACTGTCCCCACAGCCCTTATCTCTAGTTAATGCACCGTTTATTTTACCTACTTTGTCTGTCTTCCCCCACCCTAGAATGCAAGCCTCCCAGGGCAGGGATTTGTGTTAGTTTTCCTCACTGCTGTGTTCCCAGCACCTGCAACAGTGTTGGCACATAGTCGACACATAATAAAGATTTATAAAAATGTGTTGAATCATTACATGAGCAGAATGGGAGACTGCCGAAAGCTCAGATAGAATGAGCCCTGAGCAGAACATCACTGCATTTCAGTCCTGAGGTCCCTGGTGGCTTTGGAGGGAGCACTTCCAAGGGAGCAGTTAGGTTCTTGCCTACATTTGCTGTGTGCTGTGGAGTCGACAGGCTGTAATGAAGAGGAAACAATAAATCCAAACCTGCCTGGGCCTTGCAGTAGCCACTAGCCGCAGGGGGCTCCTGAGCACTTGAAATGTGGCTGGTCCAAACCGAGACATGCTGTGAGCACACCACATACCCAGGAGTGCCAAAGACAGGATGTGGGTAAAAGACCACAAAACCGCACAGTAATGCTCTTTACACGTTGTTTACATGTGGAAGTGATCACATTTTAAATATATTGGGTTAAAGAAAACATATTTAAATTAATTTCTGCTTTTTTGATGTGGCTACTAGAAATACTTAATTTACATACNAGTCAGCTGCGATACAGATGGTTTGTAGTCCTTAAGAGGGTCCCAGGTTTCGGTGTGCCATCCACACTGTCATTTCCTTATTATGCTAAGGTGACTTTTAATAAAAACTCACCCTCTTCTTGTAGCCCAGGAGGCTTCTGTGGGCCACAATGTCATGGGACAAGTACGACTGAGCACTGAAACCCTGGGCAAGTTAACCTCGGAAATGAGTCTGGTGACCCCAGAAACCAAACCTGGAAAGAGCGTGCGTGGGAGCGTGTTGATGCCCAAAGGCAAATCAGAGAGCCATGGCTCTGGGTCACAGAAGCAGCATCACCTGCACCAGTCCGAAACGACACAGGTACAAACCAGGGCTCTCCGGCAGGAGGGTTGGGATCCTTCCTCCTTCCTCTCAGCATCCTGAAGCCAGGTCAGAACCCCTCATTCCTACAGGTATCCTCACCAGGCAGCCTGAGTGAGGCGGCCTTAGTACCGCTCCTGAAAGGAGCGTTCACCCAGCAGGTGTTCAGCAAGCACCTCTTATGATATAGGCACTGGGTCGGATGCTGGCAAAGTGAAGATCTTTTTTTTTTTTTTTGACTGGTAAGGGGATCACAACCCTCGGCACGGTGTGGTCTGCACCA